CACCTTCTTAAGGCTTCTTAGCTAAGAAAACTTTCAGCAACTTTGATGACACCAGTCGAGAGGCTGCTGACTTACTCTACTCGCAGCCTCCTCAATTCTGGGAGAGGGGAATGCTACCTGCCCATTAGGTGGAGCACTTTAGTGGCTAACTATGACAAGTACATTGTTGACTAATTCCTTACTGTATCGTTGAGCTTAGAACAATCAAAAAAAAACAGAAAAAAGTCACTACAGTAGACAGACTGTTCCTCGTAATTACATTTTTCAGCGCTTCCATGATGCTGCCTGAAAGTTGTACGTTTATTTTTCTTCCTTCCATTTTCTGCTTTTTTTCAGGTTTCATCGCTGTCTTGGTGGCATGCTGCCTTTCTGGATTTGCTGGTATCTATTTTGAGAAGATTCTGAAAGGATCCGATGTATCTATTTGGATTCGAAACATCCAATTAGCACTTCCATCCATCTTCTTCGCCTTGCTGTTTGCCTTTGTTAGTTTATGGCTTCATCTACAAGAGTTTATGACTTCATCTGTGAAGAGATAACTTTGTGCCCCCTTCTGGCCGTCTTTGCGGAGGTCGGTGACTCACGCGTGCGATTGCGACGCGGCATGATGTTCGGATCGGTGCGCTTGTATCTGACTTTACAAGGGTATATCTATCTGCTTTACAGCTGATAAATATACCTTGTTCTTGGCGGATGCTGAGGTGTCAGGAGGTGGGGCTTGGCGCGGCGCCAGTCCGTTTTTCACCAATTGTTGTCACTTACCCGCTTCAACAGTCGGAGGAGAACGGGCTGACGCCCGCCAAACCCACCCTTCTGACACGCCCCAGCGTCTGCAGCGAAAACGACCGTATGTGAGTACCCTAAGCAGCAAAAGCATCTGCCTGCTAATGCCGACTCCCAAAAATTTTTAATACAAAGGCATACCGGAAGGATTTGGAATTTCAGACTTTCGTTGCCCCGAGGAGTCAGTGTATTAATCCTTAATGTTCCTTGATTAGCACCACATTATTCCAACATGAGACTGGGAGAATACGTCTCCAGAGGTTTTTTCCAGGTCAAAGACAACAATGAGATCTTTGCCGATGGTATTGCCTTAGCAGCCGTGTGGCGTCGCATGCTCTTTGGGTTCGACTGGGCTGTATGGGTGACGATCGCGATTTCGGCGTTCGGAGGTCTCGTTGTCGCCGTGGTCATCAAATTTGCCGACAATATCTTGAAAGTAAGCTTTCTTTTTCTGTTTTTCAACTAACGGGTCACATTGTCCCCCATGTGGTTAATGAGGAACATGCCTTTGAGTGGAGAGTTTCAGTGCTAATATGTCTAAAGTCAGGATGAATCTATCTGTCTTTCTTTTGCAGGCGTTTGCAACCTCATTCGCTATTGTATTGAATTGCATTCTGGCATATTTTCTCTTCAACTTCCGACCGACGATGTTCTTCGTGGTCGGCGCCTGCTTCGTCATCGGAGCTGTATTTGTCTACAGTATCTACCCATATCGGTAAGTCTCCATTCCATTCTACCTCTCCAAAGCAACCGGTTATAACAACAGTCATCAGATCACTCACTGTCAGATATTGAAAACGCAGTCGCAATTTCGGGGATTCCTGAGTAATTGATGCAATCCTTTTTTCATCGGCCACCATAAGCGGATTATATTGTGCGCCAATCCCAGACGAAATATTGTTAAGAAAACGCTGCGTCGAGCAATCCTCGGTGATGCTGTGCCTGGGTGTAGTGCGAGAGATCCGCGCTTCCGCACCGTCGCTTTGCAGTTAGTCATCACGTACGCGCCATTTGCACCAGAGCCCAACTGGATAACATGGACAAGCTGTGGCACGTTGACTACTTGTCAGTGATCTCCTATTTTTATGCGTCTTTGCGACGTTTACCTCCTCCTCCTGCACGCAGGACACAGCACCGCGTTATACAAGGTTTAGGTTGAATACGACTCCCTGAGATCCGTCACTCTCTCCTTCTGTACAACCTCCTTCCACGGGTTATTCTCCCAAAATTTGCATTTTGCCGTCGAGCCGAGCGTTGGGAGGAAGTTGTAATCTCCAAATAACGACCACAACCTACTATGAAAATTAATGATTGTATAAAAGTTCATCGGCGCTTAAGGAGCGCAGTGAAACGGACAAGATCTCACAGACGAAATAATTTTTTCCGTAGCCAGAGAACATTTCCAACCTTCCCCAGCCCCCTCAAATACGTATCGAGCGAAAATTGACCCTTACTGGGATTCTGTCAGTAATGAGCGCCTAAAACGGAAAGTCAAAAACCAAAAAACCAAAAATAATTTCTTAATATTACCTGATCGGTTTGCGATTGGTCTCGGAATAGCATGCTCTCTTAGCCTCCCGAGATTGATATAGACGCTATAGTGTGCTCACGTTCCAGCGATCATCGCCTGCTTCGGAGCCTGCAAGTCGAACCTTAAAAAGTTTCTCTACGGTGTTACTATTCGCCTCCAGCGGCCGAATTACGACCCTCATTTCTAGCGTTTTCATAGCAGGGGCGGTGTCCCACCCGCACTACACCCACCCATCCCAATCCGCACGCACATGCCACGACCCTAGCCTATGCACAATTCTCAGCAGCAAATGTTGTTACCGTCGGCTCTATTTTCTTTTGCTATATGGAAACGTTAGCCGTCTAATATCAAGGATGACTTTAGGGTTCGTCGTGAGCCTCAACCAACTTCCGAGGAGATGGCATCATTGAAGGAGAGCAACGAAAAGGAGGCAGTTTAGTCTAGGTTGGAGCGTACATAATTAGTCCATCCAGTTCTTCATTCGACGTGATTTCTGCAATATAAAGTATCAGGCATATTCAACTGGTTTATAGTGGATTTCCATTCCACTTTACAGCCTTTTCATGAGGCAGCTTTCAATCTAGAGGTGTTTGTAGATGTTTGAACGGTTTTTCAACCCCGATTCCTATGTTGCATGTAGTCACTTGTCTCTGATTCATTCTCTGATAGCCATCACATCCTCAGCGTCTTGTTTTGTTAGAAATTTCTCGATTTTCACCTCAATTTCACTTCGATGTTGTTGAATTCTATCTCGTTTCTACACTCGATGTGCCCATTGGAGATTGTTTATGATCAGGTCACTTTTCCTGTTTGGTTCTTATGTCTTCCTCCGATTAAATGTTATACGTTGTTAGTTTCCTTTTTTAAATGTGATGTTCCTCAGCTACAATTATCCAGATGTTCCTATATGAAAGTCATAAATGTCTCGACAATGAATTCTACACGGAACGGCACACCTATGAATTGTCCCTGCTTACTATTTATTACTTATTAAAGGCAGTTGGCACGATAAATCCCTAAAGACGACTAGGATCAATACTCCTGGCAGGATAGAATTCCGCGACCCTGGGCAGGCGCTGCATAGCGGTTTCCCCGAGGAAGGTGCCCTTAAGGGCACGTCCCAAACGCCCGCCACGCCCGCCCGCCCACAAATGGACG